TCAGCCTTGCACTTTCCTATCTCTTTCCTCTGGACACCTGTGGCTTGATGCTGTCCTCCTATGGTGCAATGCCTGGGGCAGTACTCAGGTCCCCAGGTATGGGCTGATTAGTGAAGGAGAAACAAAAAGATTTCTTCACCTTGGCCCAGGTACTATGTATGGGCTGATTAGTGAAGGAGAAACAAAAAGATTTATTCACCTTGGCCCAGGTACTACAATTCTGTTTTCCCAAGCTAAGATGTCTTTAAGGTTTTGTTTTGCTATGTTTTGTTTTGTTAAGAAGCCACAACTTGCTGTTGACTCATATTCAGCTCCTAGCCAACGGAAACCCCAGAGCCTTATTTTTCCCTGTGTGATACTGTTAAACCATTTTTCCCCAAGCCAGATCTCGGATGGCTGTTTGTTGTTCTAGATCTGAGGGAAGGACTTCTCATGTCTGTTAAGTTCCATCTTGCTAGATTAATTTTCTCCGTTCTATCCTATCACAATATAAAATTCTTCAGTAAGTGAACAAATAAATGCAGTGCATTGTCATACATTTGGCAGACCAAAGCTCAAAACATCAAACTCTAGCAGCAGAGTATAGTAAAAACAAAACACCACAGCAAAGACATACACTCTAGTTTTCTTAACAAAAGTGAGCCACAAGTCATATAACTTACCAGTGTTAGTCTCTGTTAAGTTTCCAACATGTTAGACTCAAAACCTTTTTTTTTTTTTCAGGAGAATATACTGAATCCCTAGAACATATGATTTCTTATTACAGCCCAGTACTTACATATTTCATTTATTTATTTTTTATTAATTCATTTAAAAAATTCTATAGTGTTTTATAATTTTCAACTTCACACAGATGACTTCATATAATCCCATAATAACCCTTTTTTTCTCCTATATCTATATTATCCCTCATCCAACCCTTTTCCTATCTTACATTAACAAACATATACTTTCCTCTTCCAAGAGAAAAATTCAGTGGCATCTAATACAGTCATCACCTCTCTCTAGTTCCAGAACATTTTCCTCACCTCGAAAGGAAACTCCAACCCATTAAGCAGCTTCTCCCAACCCCCTCTCCTACCAGGCTTGGGCAACCACCAATCTGCCTTCTGTCACTGTGAATGTACCTGTCCTGGATATTTCATATAAATGGAATCACATAATGTGTCCTTTTCTGTTTGGCTTCTTTTACTTAGCATAGTGTTTTTGAGGTACATTCATGTTGTAACATGTATTAAAACATGTTGAACATGTATTCATTATTTTATGGCTGAATATTAATCCATTGTATGAATATGAAACAATTTGTTTATCCCCAATTTGTCATTCAGTGATGGAAACCAGACTGTCCTACCTTTTGGCTCTTGTGAATGGTGCTGCTGTGAACATGTATGCACATGCATCTGTGTACGTTTGATTGTTTGGGGTATATACCTAGCCGTGGAATTGCAGCTTCATGTGGTAATTCTATGTCTGGTTTTTTGAGAAAGCACCAAACTGTTTTCCACAGTGGCTGCACCATTTCAAACTCCCACCAGCATGGTAAGAAAGCTTCAATTTCTCTACATCTTTGCCAACATTGATTATTAATATTTTTAAAGTTATAGCCATCCTAGTGGGTGTGAAGTTGTATCTCATGGCAGTTTTGATTTGCATTTCCCTAATGACTAATGATACTGAGCTTATTTTCATTTACTTGTTGTTCATTTGTATATCTTCTTTGGAGAAATGTCTACTCAAGTCCTTAACCTATTTTTAAATTAGGTTGTCTTTTTGGTGTTGAGTTGTAAAGATTCTTTGTATATTCTGGATATTAGATTTTTATTATTTGTATCATTAGCAAATAAATTATCCCAAATAAATTATTGTATCATTAGCAACATAAATGATAAATATATTGCTCATTCACTTCTCGATAATGTCTCTTGATGCACAAAGGTTTTTTAATTCTATGAGGTCCAATTTATCTCTTTTTTCTTTTATTATGCCTTTGATGTCCTACCCCGGTCCTTAGGCAAATCTAAGTTCATGATGGTTTATATCCCTCTAATAGTTTCTTCTAATTGTTTAATGGATTTAACTCTTATACTTAGATTGTTGATCCATTTTTAGTTAAATTTTTGTATATGGTGTAATGTATATGGTCCAATTTTGATCTTTTTGCATGTGGATATCAAATTACTTCCCTACCACTTGTTGAAGAGATTTCCCCACTGAATGATCTTGGTACCTTTGTCTAAAATAGACTGGCCATAGATGTATGGGTTTTATTAAGGATTCTAAATTCTATTACATTGGTCTATCTGTCTATATTTATCCCAATAATACAGATTTGATTACTGTAGCTTTATAAAAGTCTTGAAATTGGGAAATGTGTGTCCTCCAGCTCTGTCCTTCTCTTTCAACATTACTTTGGCTATTTGGGACCCCTTAAATTCCATTTAATTTGAGAATTAGATTTTCCATTTTTGTGAAAATCATCTTTAAAAATTTTACAGAGATTGCATCGACTCTGTAGATTTCTTTGGGTAATTATGCCATCTTAATATTGTCATTTATCAATGAACACAGAACATGTCTTTCCACTTATTTAAGTATTCTTTATTTTTTTCAACAATTTTTATAGTTTTGGGTGTGCAAATTTTTAATTTCTCTGGTTAAATTTATTCCTAGATACTTTATTCTTTTGGATGCTTTAGTAAATGAAATTGATTTTTAAACTTTTTTTTTTTACAAACTGTTCATCGCTGGTGTATAGAAACACAACTAATTTTTTAGTGTTGATCTTGTAACTTGCAACTTTGCTTTATTTATTAGATTTGGTAGCTTTGTGTGTGTGTGTGTGTGGATTTTTTTTTGTAGATTCTGTGACTAGCCAGGAGTTACTGTACACCCATTATTGTTTTTCTAAAACCAAACCAACACTTCTATAAAGAATCCTTTTTATTAAAATCTCTTCAAATTACACATTTCCTTTTGGAACAGAAACTGATATAAGTTTTCAGTCAGGAGTCAATGAATAAAACAGAAATAGGTCTGAGTATTTTAAAAGAGAGAAGTTTAATGAAAAGAACTGGTTATATGGATATTGAAGATCTGAGAAGCCAAATAAGTAACAGCAAATGAACCCAGAAATCAGCAACTGCTGAAAGCCACTACCATTCTTATGATGGGGGCACAAGGATTCTGTGCTGTCATATCCTGGAGGCTGGAAGACCTGGAAGAAGGTAGAAGCCAGTTCAAAGTGAACAGGAGCCAGAGAGAGACTTGCTGCTGCCTGGAAATGCAGCCTGAGGCCAGAGAAAACATCCCTCCCTCTCTTTTCCGCTGGAGAAGGGGTAGGTTACCCACTCCAGTATTCTTGGACTTCCCTTGTGGCTCAGCTGGTACAGAATCCCCCTGCAATGTGGGAGACCTGGGTTTGATCCCAGGGTTGGAAAGATCCCCTGGAGAAGGGAAAGGCTACCCTCTCCAGTATTCTGGCCTGGAGAATTCCACGGACTGTATAGTCCATGGGGTCGCAGAGAGTCAGACACAACTTCACTTTCTCTTTTCCTTCTTCCAACTCTCCAGTCTCCTGAGTTGACTGAATCCAACCAGAAGCCAACTAACACTGGAGTGTGAGAAAAGCAGCATGCAGGAGAAAGCAGAGTCGGGCAAGGGCATGATCAGATAACACGTACCTCACACCCTACAAAGAAGGCCCTTCTAAATAAGGCCCCTCTGATGATTCAGAAGAGACTTTAAAGAAGAAGCAAACCATGCAGTTATTCAGAATAAGAACGTTCCAGATTTCAGGGGTAAAAAGTGCCAAGGTCCTAGGAAGGAGCCTGTATAGGGGCACATGGAATCACTGATCCTAAAGCAGAAAGAGCAGGAGAGTGGTAGGAGATGAGATCAGAAGGAAAGACAGGCAGCAGACCACAGAGGGCTTTCTACGCCATATGACGGACTTTGGCTTTTGCCCTGAGACAAAGTCATTGGCAAGTTTTGATCAGAGTGACATGATCTGACTCTGGCTTAAAAGGATCCTCGTGGCTGCTGAGCAAAAGAAACCTTAACAGGGCAAGAGGCCAAGAGAGAAAACAGTTCGGGCATTATCTCAATAAACAGGGTAAGGCAGCTTCATGAGGGCTCAATAGGTACAGGTAAGGTAGGATGTGAACATAAGGTGGAGCCAACAAACAACGTTGTTGGGTTGTATGTACACATGAAAGAAGGAGTGACCTCAACTTCAGCAGTGCAGGTTTGAAGGGGAAATCAGGAACTCACTTAGAGACACATTAAGTGTGAAATGGATATTAGACATCCACACAGAGCTGCAGAGGAAGGCTACTGAATACAGTGATTTTGGAATCTGAGAGATGTTTGAACTGGAGATATACATATGAGAGTCGCTGGCATATAATTAGTATTCATCTTAGTTTGGGTTCCCCTGGAAGTGTGTGTGCTAAGTCTTTTCAGTCGTGTCTGACTCTTTGCGACCCTATGGACTATACTTCCAGGCTCCTCTATCCATAGAATTCTCTAGGCAAGAATACTGGAGTGGATTGCCAATTCCTTCTCCAGGGAATCTCTCCAAATCAGGGATCGAACCTGAGTCTCTTACATCTCCTGCATTGGCAGGTGGGTTCTTTACCACTAGCACCACCTGGTAAGCCCCAAGCAGACCTTGACAAGAATTTGAGTGCAAATCATTTATTTGTGAGGAGAGTCCAAGAATTATCAGCAAAGAAGTGAGATGGGGAAAGGAAGAGAGTTAATAAAAGTGCATTATGAAATATGTTATCTCTGTCAGCAACTGAAATTTGTCCCATCGTGGGATTCTTGGAGAGAGGGTAGGATAGGCTTCAAAGGAATGGAATGGGGCAGGGCAGGTGCCTGGCTCTTAGGGAGAGACCATCAGCAGTCCCGCTCAGTCATTGGCCGGCGTTGCAGTGGGTCCCTACTCCCAGGGAACGACTGTTAGCGAGTGACAGTTAGCAGTTCCACTCAGCCACTGCTTGGGATCGCAGTGGGCACCTCCCCCTTCCATTCTTCTGTATGAAAGAAGCCGGAATTTGGACTGAGAAGATGGTGTTTTTGAGGCACTACTCTGTCATCTTCTCTGTCTGCTAGCTTTCTGATTAAAGTCATTGTTCCTTGCCTCAACAACTTCTCTTCCAGTTTACTGGCCTGTTGCGCGGTGAGCAGAGTGAGCCTGGACTCCGTAACAGGGATCCTAACTGAGGGACTGGAAAGCTACCCGAGAATTACCTGCCAAACCCGCGTCCATCTTGGGCTGAGGACCGCTCTGGGGGCATTAATGCCACAGCACTCCCCCCTTCCTCACAGCAGAACCCGCGCTCCCTGGGCCACCGACCCCCCACCCCCACCCCGGGAGAATCAGAAAAGTTCCCAGCAATAGCCATCTGTGTGGAGAGGTCAGTCCTAAAGGAATACTGGTGGGGCAGCCACAGCATGAAATGATCTGGTATCACCCCAAGAGTGAGTGAAGTTAGAAAAGGTGTCCAGTGTCTCTAGCATTCTGCCACCGAAAGGTCAGGAAGACGAGGAGGACGCAGCACAGGAGGCTGAGGAGAGGCCAGTGAAAAACAGAAAGGCGTCCTGGAAGGCAAGTTTGAAAAGTGCTGAAGGAACTTACGCTTCCCAGGGCGGAAGGATCAGGGGAAGGGACGGTTAGGGAGTTTGGGATGGACATGTACACTCTGCTGTACTTAAAATGGATAACCAACAAGGACCTACTGTATAGTAAGGGAGTTCTGCTCAATGTCATGTGGCAGCCTGGATGGGAGGGGAGTTTGGGGGAGAATGTGAAAGTCACTCAGTCTAGTCTGACTCTTTGCGACCCCACGGACTATACAGTCCACAGAATTCTCCAGGCCAGAATACTAGAGTGGGTAGTCTTTCCCTTCTCCAGGGGATCTTCCTAACCCAGGAATCGAACCCAGGTCTCCCGCATTGCAGGCAGATTCTTTACCAGCTGAGCCACAAGGGAAGCCCAGGAATACTGGAGTGGGTAGCCGATCCCTTCTCCAGAGGATCTTCCCGACCCAGGAATCAAATGGGTTTCCTGTGTTTCAGGTGAATTCTTTACTGAACTATCAGGGAAGCCCTTGAGAGAGAATGGATACATGTATATGAATGGCTGAATCCTTTTGCCGTCCACCAGTGCTGAAATTATCACAGCACTGTTAATGGGCTATAATCCAATATAAAATGAAAAGTTATGAAAAATTTTTTAAAAGTGCTCCTAACAGGAGGAAGATAGTAACTGTATCAAATACTGTAGAAGGGCCAACTAAAGTGAGGACCGGAGATTGCCCATTGGCTTCAGCAATTTGCAGGCCATGGTGACCTTGACAGGATCAATTCTGGAGGTGTGGTTCAGGACAGAGAGTGAACTCAAAAGAAAAGAGAGATAGGACACAGCCTGTATAGACAACTTTTTCAAACAGTTTTGTGTAGAAACACTGAACGGTGTCTGGAGGGTGGGGTGGGGTGTCAAAATAGAGGTATATGTGTTTAAGATGATAAGTGTTGCAGCAGGCTTGCAGGTTGATGGGACAACCAGTCGAGAGGGAAAAGCTGATGATGCAGGGCTAAGAGGGAAAATGACAGACGTGATGCCCTCAGTAAGTGAGAAGGAGTGGTACTGGGGGGCAACTGGAGGGAGCTTCCTTGGGAGCAGACATTCTACAGTAACAGAGAGAAGGCAAAGGGTATGGTCATGGGTGTGGATAGTGAGGGAGTCTGTGGAAATTCTCTTCTGAATTGCAGTATTTTTCACAGAAACAAGGAAGTCATTTGCTATTTAAGAACTGAGGAGAAAGCTGTTGAAGAACTGAGGAGAGAGAAGAAGATGTGAAATAGCCATTCAGGATTGGGAGTAGCTGAGACATGTGGAGAGAAATGGCCAAGTAGCACCAAAAGACCACTTGAGCTTAGTGATCACTAATTTAAAGTCGAGGCAGTCAGCACGGGGCAGTCTTTCTCCAGCCGTGGTCAGCTGCTTGCATGCAGGCATGGAGTAGGAGAAATTAGATTTGACCAAGCTTGAGTAGGCTTTATTTACAATCCCAAACCTGTAATTTTGCTCCTGGAAGACATTAAATAGTAATTTGCTAAGAAATAAAATTTTCTTGGGAAAGTCATCCTAAATTCCAAAATTCTTGGGAATACGTTATAAGCCAACAGAAAAAAGTGATTTGTGAGGAAGCGAAGCAGAAGTAGCTTTACTTAATCCATTTAGAAAGGGTTGCTCTGCAAAAACTCATCAGGGATTTAGCAGGAAACAATTAGCGAACCCCTCTACCCTCAATAAAAGCTGTGAACTGATCTTCCTTGCTGAGCTTCTTGGCTCTGGGAGACTGTGTAGCTACTGATTAGCTAAGGGATCAGAACCCAACTTGCCGTTTAACTGTTCGTGTTGTAAATAATCTGTTCTCATTCACAAGAGGCTGAATATATGACAACCATAGAGATTGTAAAAAAAAAAAAAAGAGGGAAAAAAAGGTGTGTTTGAAGTAGCCCCACATTTTTCCAATAGAAATTTTTACTCTGAACCTTTTGCAGTTAGTGCTCACATCTTGGATGAGGCTCTGGTCTAAGATTCTAGTAAGAAAACTCTTGGAGATCTAGAGCTGGATAATCTGGACCTTTGTTTTACTCTTTGCCAGTGGGAGTTATGATACTGTGTCTTTCCATCCCAGTATCCAGTTTCTGCACAGGGTCTAACAGCTCATAAACAAGTGCTCAGAAGACATCAGATGTGGGCCATAAAAGGGGAAGACATAGTAAATTGAATACTGTTCCCCCAAAAGATATGTCCAGGTTCTGATTCCTGGAAAGTGTGAATGCAGCCTTGCTTGAAAATAGGATCTCTGCAGATGTAATTGAGAATCTTGGGATGAGAGCATCCTGGATTTAGGATGGGCCCCAAAGCTAATGACTGGCATCCAGATAAAGAGAGAGAAGAAGGAGCTTAGAGACACACACAGACATAGGGAAGAAGGCATTCTGAAGGTGGAGGCAGAGGCTGGAGTGCTGGGATTTCTGGTAATGACCAGAAACTAGGGGAGCAGCACAGACAGATTCTTCCTCAGAGTTTTCATAAGGAATCACTCCTGCTGACACCCTTGTATCAGACTTCAGGTCTCCTTAACTACCAGAGAATACATTTCTCTTGTATTAAGCTACGTTTGTGGTAACCTGTTGTGGTAGCCCTAGGAAACCAATACGGGGAGTGACCTCGAAGTTTAATAAAGGAAAAAGTGCATGGTCAGGAAAACCACAAAGGGCTGTAGAAGTCTGGGACCACTCAAAGTTCCTAAAACCTTGGGGCATTTCCTTTAGGTTCTTTCTAGAAGAATATGGCTCCTCCTCCAGAAATTGTTTCCTGATAGTCTGGGGAACCTGCAGTTATTTTGAGACCATTGTCCCATCTCTATGAAAGTGTTTGCAAATATTTTGCTCCCCGGGAAGTCCTGACCTATGATTTAATCAGCTTGATTCTGCAGCACTGAAATTTCTGCTTGCAGCATGTCTGAGCTGAGAAGAGAGCATCCTTGAGGAGGGCAAACTCCCAGACACTTGTCTCTCCCTGGATTTCTGACCCGTGTCTTCTGGAATGAAAAGAAATAACAGCCAGCACTGCACTTTGATGTTCTGGTATTTTTACTCATTCTGTTCTCACCTTAAGTGCTCTTACTCCACTTAGGGAGCCCCCGCTCCCCATTTGAGACTTGCCCAAATAGCTTCTGCTCTGTGACAGCCACCCTGGAACCACAGAGTGGTTTTCTTCACCATTACCACAGAACTCACACACTTCAAAGGACTTATTAAATTTTATTATGGCTTATTTGTTATGTATTTGTCTTACCTGAAACACTCCAGAGGAAGTGTTATTCATGTCTGAATCATCAGCACTTAGTCTGGAAACTAGCTCAGTAGATTTTTTTTAAAAAATATAAACTAAGGAAAGCAATAGCTTAGAAAATCTATAGTGACTAAACTCAGAGTTTCTCAAAAATATACAACTGCTCTTATTTAACCTCATCTATTTTGTATTTCAAGCCACTAGAATTTGGCAAAGGAACAAAGTGACATAGAAATTAATATGTCCTCTATGAGTAAAAAATCCAGTAAGTGTTTGCTGATTTGCTGTTATGATCAGAGGAGAACTTCTCTCCAGGAAATGAAAAGGGCAGTGTTACCCCCCAGCACTGCAAGCTTAGTTCACGAGCAAGGGAGATTCTTCCTATTTTGGATTAGAATTTAGCAAAGGCTTTCCAGAATTAGTTACCAAAGAAGCTCACTGAGCTATCTTTCCTTCACCTGATCACTGCAGAAAGCTAAAGTGTTTACCGAAGATGGTCTTCAAAGTGACATTATCACTCCATGGTCTATCCAAATGCCTCCTTCCATCATATTTGGTTTGGAGTTTTATGTATTTGAAGATGTGAATCCTCAATTGTGAAAGAAAAATAGGCTCTGCTCTAAGCTTTTGTGTGAATATGCTCCATAGAAAAGATGAAAACATCCAAGTGAACAAAGCTGAGGACATAAATAAAAGAGGAAGGTTTGGACAGGTAAGTATGTGCGTTCCCATGGGAACGTACAGCTGCTGCCAACAAAAATCATGGGAAAAGGCTTCAGACTCTTCCTGTGATTCAGGCTCAAAACAAATTTGTAAAGAAGTCAAAATACACATGAATCATCTCCTCTTTCATCAACCACAGTCATTACTATCAAGTCAAAAGCTGTTCTAGAGTCACAAGGAAAACACCAGAGATGTTTGCACTAAAATAATTTCACCACCAAGAAATCCAAGTTTCAAACATCCACCACAAACATCGAAATGCCTTTGCCTATTAAGACCCTTATAACCTGGTAGTACAATCTCTGTCTCACCTAATTCATGACAATTTCCCCGTCATGATCAAGATGGTCTTCTCACTATACCCTACAGACTACTCCACATATCCTGTTCATTCCTCACTCCAAACTTTACTCACACTCTGGTTCCTAGTGCATTTTCCTTTTCCTTTACCTATTCAATCTGATTTATTCTTCAAATGCAGTCCCAGTATCATCTCATCTGCATGGTTTGTCATGACTGCAAGCTATATTGGTATCTCTCTACTGTCAATTTCTATACTGACCCTTGATAGCTAGAATACCAAGCTAAAGTTTCTTTTGAAATTAACTCATCATTTATAAATACTCATTGGGTTGACAAACTGTGCTAGTAGAATAATGAAGATTTCTTGCTGATTTTCTAGCTGTTTTTTCTTTACTGGGTTCATCATTTTAAACAATGCTTTCCTTCCCAAAGATGACCAAGATAATTAAGGACTTTTTGCTCCATTTCAATCCTATGCAAGGGATGCACTTGTCCCCCTCCCTGGGCTAAAAAGATTAGTAGATATTAAACTGGTGAAAGCTATTAGAATCTTCAACTTTAACCCCTTCTAAGTTGAATAAATCTGAAAGTACAAATCAGTCACTAATTAAGAAGAGCCTGTGCAGATAAGGAAGTATTCATTTTAGACCCTTTAATCTTTTTTTTTTTTTTTTTTT